TTCATTTTTCATTTAGATGCACAATAATTCTGCACACTAATAGTTGCCACCAATTGGGCATACATAGATATTCTCCTAAGAAAGCCAACATCTTACTTTTTCTTTCTTAAATATTCAGGTTTGTGGTTTCATAACATTTTGAATTGACCGAGCACTGTAGTTGTTCAATAAAAAGATTAATCCTCCAAAATACAACTTGCCTAATAATTGTGCACACAGTGTAGAGGGTAACTGCAAACAATACCTTTCTGTACAATTTACATTATTTGCCAGCCATTTCACTTTCATGCAACTTTGACTTACAAACTGATAGAATATTATAAAAGATTAAAACAGTGACAATAAATACATTAAAAAATAAAGAAATAGCTAAGTTAGCAAGGAGTATATAACCCAGTACTCTAGAAAGAGACACCCTGTTTGGGTCCCACAACAATCAACAAAACGAGGTTTTAAGGCCCTTAGGCCAAAAGGGTGGGGGTCACATTCACATAAGGAGGGATATGAGGTTCCAGAGAGTGGGAGCTGCAGCAGAAAAGGCTCTTCTCCTGGACCACACCAGCTGAAATTCCTTGGCCAATGGAGTCTGCAGCATGCCTCTTCTGCTGGGATGGTTGCACCGGCAGAAAGGGCGTGCTGTGAACCCTATTTGGAAGTTGGTGGAGTAGTGGTGCAAGGGAATGTAGTTTGGATTCCCACCAAACAGTCCAGACTACATTCCGTCACATCAGGTGAGGCTGTATCAAGCACATGGAACCAAGATGTGGGCATATGGGTACATGTGAGAGAAGACAGAGGTGGTAAGTCTATTTTAGAGTTTATATTTTTTTTCAAAATCATGGGAAACTGTAAGGCTTATTTATAACAAACATAGCCAGGTGAAGGGGGATTGGGGGAGGATGCCCCAAAGTTTTTTTTTAAAAAGAAGCAACGTGCACGAAAGAAAAGGTCATTATCCCTACTCTCCCAGTTATTTCCTGTTTTAGTGATTCCCTTGGTAGTTGAAATGTAACATGCCTCAGCATTTGCTCTATTGTATCAAAGGCAATAGGGGAACACTTTTGGTAACTGGAAGAAGTTTTTCAAAGGAAAAAAGGTCATTCATTCCTCTGAAAACATAGCTCACACATTTTTTTGAAACATTTAAATGGATAGTGTTGATACATTTCCTATTTAAATACACAGAATGCTTGACTTGTTTTCCCTCCTTCATCATCTTCAAACTAGATTATAAACTTACCAAATGCATCTATACTCTGAATAAACTAAGATTTCTGATGGGAAGATCCTGACTTGGGTCTGGGTAAACATTCATTTCTAGTGTAATTTGGATTTATGATAAAAGAGATCAGTACTATTACAAAGCTTAGGGATTATCAAAAATACTTGCCTTGTGCGCTAATTTCTTCATTTTTAGTAAACAATCATTGAGGTACTGTAATTCAAATACATAATTTTCATATGGTTCAAGATAACGAAACAAATTAAATCAGATCAGAATGAAGTTTTTTTTAATTAAGAAGTTCTATTTACAAGGATAGATCCAAAGTGTTAAGTTCTCAAAAATAAAACCAATTTTTAATCTGGAACATCAATCATATATCATAGTCAACTTATAATTAATACAAAAAGTATAATACAAAATTCAATATAAATTAATGCATAATTAAGCCAAATTTCAGCACCAAACTTTTAATGTTAGACCTGAGAATAGGTCTATTGGATAGATAAAGAAAGAAAGCAAGGATATAACTAGAGTTCCATGGGTAGTAAGGCAAATCTTTGGGAGGTTGGGGCTTCCATCCAAACATTAGTCATCAACATGGCTATATTGGAAGTGGGTAGACCTATTCTGATGATGGGTGGGGGGGAGGCTTCTTTCAAAAGTAAGACATTAAAACTGACTAGGAAAGAAAGGTAAAAACCAATTGCATATAATTGAAACAACTATACTCTGAGTATAATTTTATGCCATACTCTGTGATAACAAGCCAATATTTCAAAAAGTAAAACATTTTTCTCCCCAAAACAAAAAAACACTTTTTATAAATATATATAAGTCTATTGTAAAACATTTTTCAGCGTATTATTTGGCTTTGTGGTGGTTTATTAAATGATAGATCTGAATGCATTATACTATGGAATACTAACTAAATATAAAAATCCTTTTTAGCTTAAACTGTTAGATTTTAGATTAAACTGTTACAAAAGCAATCTTAACAAAACTTTCTATATATGAATCAGAAATACAAAATATTTTATGGTTCTTACTTTTAATAGTTAGAATGATCCTTTATGATGGAACTTCTATCTTTCTATATTTTCATAAAATATTTCTAATGAATTTCCCTCTTTATAAAAAAAATCAGCATTTTTTTTAAAGTAGCCAAATAGAATACAGTTAAAACCTTATAATATTTCATATTGATTTTATGCATACACTTAATTTGATAAGGCTTATATTTTGTGTAGATACTACACAAAGGAAAGTAAGCTTTTCAGGTTGAAAAAATTATTTTAATAGAATATTACAATTTACAGCTGCTTAGCAGGTGGTTAGAGCTATCAAGTAGTTCATTAAAGAAGGCTGGTGTACTTTATAATATTGAGCCATAATTTTCCTTGACTTAGCAAAAGTTTTGATAATGCATAGAAACAGTATTTTCCTAGGAAATCATTTTCAGTGTTTCCTAGGTTTTGGGGGGATGAAGGGAGAAAAAGAAATCTTAAGTTTATAGGGTTTTTTTTTCTGCTTCTCAACAAATATTGGAAAATCTTTTTCAAACCTAGCCAATGGTAAGATAAATACAGCAACATGGTAACTTTTTTATCTTTTATACAGTAGAAATATTTTCCATTTTAAGAGCAGAGGAAGATACCTGTTTAGACAATGCTTCAGCCTTCCCTTGAATGAGAGGGAAGAAACACTTGAGATGCCACATAGTCAGACACAACTGCATCTTAAATAAGCAGCTATAATATATCATGTACAGATTCTCCCTGTGAGAAACCATATTACTGTATTTCCCCATGTATAAGCCACCCCCTTTTTCCAAAATTTTCAAGCCCAAAAAGTAGGGGGGTGGCATATACAAAGCAGGTACACTTTTTATACGTGAAAAATGCATAAAATAATAAAGTAGGAATAAACTGGTTTTCCAGCAGTATGCTATACTTTTTTGTAAAAATTGTAAGTGATGATACGATTACGAGTGCGAGTACGCGATAGAAATGCATACGCTAGGCATCGGCCTGAATGCTTCGTTCCTACTCTCGTTCCGATGCGTAGATTGCTAGCGTCGCCCGCACCGCTTTCGACGTCATGACCGAAGTTGTAGATCTAGACGGCGCGGACGACTTTCGTCTGAAGCTTTTTCTTCTGTCGCCGCCCGTACGGACGCCGCCCGGGCTTGGCGGTGACCGTCCAGTCGACCTGCCGGCGATCGCGGGGCAGACGGTGTTGTAGCACCGTCGTTTTTTTTCGTGCGACTTGCAAGATTGTACACAGTACTCGTTGCTGTGTTATTTTGAAATTCTAAAATGGCTGAAAAATGAAGAGACAAGCCTACACTGCAAGCTTTAAGTTAAAAGTCATTAAGTTTGCCAAAGAATTTGGTAATCATGCAGCTGAGCGGGAATTTGGACCTCCACCAGATCGGAGGGCAATCATCAGATGGAGAAAGCAGGAAGAGAAACTTCGAAAAATGCCAAGGATGAAAAAGGCATGTTGTGGAAAGTCTGCCAAGTGGCCACATTTGGAGAAGGAATTGAAGACATGGATAGTTGAGCAACGTCAACATGGTGTAGTTATTACAACCAAGATGATTTTGCAAGAAGCCAAAAGAATAGCAAGAGAAAAAGAAGTTGAAAACTTTACTGGTTCAGCAAATTGGTGTTATCACTTCATGAAGAGAGAGAAGCTGTCAATGAGGACTCGCACCAGACTTGCTCAAAGAATGCCTGAAGATTATGAAGCAAAAATAGTGGAGTTTCATAAGTTCATCATCAACCTTAGAAAGGACTGGAATTACGATGTTTCTCAAATTTATAATATGGATGAAACTCCAGTCACATTTGACTGTCCAAGCAACAGAACAGTCGATCTGAAAGGTGCCAAGACAGTTTCCATAAAGACAACTGGAAATGAGAAGAACAGATACACTGTCGTCTTGGGTTGTGCTGCTGATGGAACCAAGCTAAATCCAATGTTGATTTTTAAGAGGAAGACTTTCCCTAAAGAAGAAATTCACAACGGAATACTTCTTCACATGCATGAGAAAGGCTGGATGGATACTGATGGTATGCAAATTTGGTTCAAGAAGATATTTGGATGCCGACCAGGAGCTCTGCTTAAGAAACCGGCTTTGCTTGTCTTCGATTCCTTCAGGGGACACTTGACTGAGGATGTTAAGAATATTGCCGAGACTATGAAAACCCAACTTGCGGTTATTCCAGGTGGCCTGACTTGTCAGCTTCAGCCCCTTGATGTTTCCATTAATAAAGCTTTTAAGGTGGCACTACGAGAAGAATGGAACCACTACATGACGACGACAGCAGGAGACAATCTTACCAAAACTGGTCGACTGAAGAAACCATCAATTGGAGAAGTTTCGAAGTGGGTAAAGAAGGCTTGGGACAGTGTGAAGATCGAGATCATTGTCAAAGCCTTTAAAAAATGTGGAATATCTAATTCTCTTGATGGTTCAGAAGATCATTTGATATATGAAGATGACGATGAAGATGACACAGAGGAAGAAGAAGAACTGTTAGCTAAATTAGATGCCAATAATATTGAAGAAGACGTGGAATGTGATGGAGCAGATAGTGATGATGAGTGTATGAGTGATTATTATGAATCTTGAATTTTGTTTCTTTGTAAATTTTCTTTCTTCATAACTTGTTTCTCTAATAAAATATTTTTTTCAAAACTTCACAGTCCAAAAATTGGGGGGGTGGCTTATACAAAGGGGGTGCTTATACATGGGGAAATACGGTAATTATAAATGCATGTTACTCATATCATACACATACCAAGAGGACTGCTTCTGCACTATAGATGCCTATGCACCTCTTAAACTCTATATATACAAGGAATGCATCCATTTATTCAACGGGGGCTCAGTATCACTTTAGGAAATTAATTTATAAAAAAGTAAGCCGATATAGGCTATAATGAAAGTATATTTTTACACAATTGTCCTAGTAGCAAAGCTAAAATCAATTACCTCAAATCCTACTCCAACTCATCCTGTACAAAGATTGCCATTCTATTAGGAGCTAACAGTTCAGTGCTTTACAGCAGTGGTCCCCAACCTTTCTGGCTCTGCAGACCACGGGCAGTGACAGTGACAGGAGGGGAGAGGGGATGCTTTTGTGCAAGCAGTGAGTGTGTGAGTGCATGCATTTGCACAAGTGGCAGGCATATGCACCTGTCACTTGCGCAAATGGAGCTGCCTGCGCTCACATGCTCCCCAACTGCTTGCACAGGCCACGGCCCAAGGGTGGGGACCCCTGCTTTACAGAACAGCTTATTCAAAGCATTTATCCAACCTTTCAAACAGGGGAAATATCTCCATTCTAAATTACAACACCTTATCTTACTGTATTAATGATTACCTTATCTTATTTTATATTAAAATAATGCATAGATCCTAATATTCTTTTAAACAATACCAAAAATGTTTTGAAATGAACCACATACCCAAGTTACTATGCCAGCAAATAATAGACATTGTAAATGTTGAGAAAGCCAACTTAAATCAAGATTTTCTCACAAGCTCCTACTTTCACATAATTATCCCAATAACCTTTTAATAACCTTAAAATGCATTATTTAATATAGCTGTGATCAAAACCTTCAAAATAATGACATAAATTCAGAGTATAAAAATCAAAATTCATAACTGCCATAAATTTTGTTTTGATAATGGAGCATCTTAAAATTTTAATACACTGATAACCGTCTACCTACAAAACATAAAAACTTTAGGAAGGACAGAGAATTGAGTCACAAAAAAACTTTAGTGCTCACAGCATCTTTGCTGATTTAATGGTTTGCTCTTTCACTGACAACATCTTGAAGACGTTTAAGTAAAACATCATCATTCTCCTGACAAAGTCTCTTAGCTGGTGAGTCTGTGTCACTATCAATTGATATTGCTCTCTTCTTAGGTCTCTGTCCTTCTTGTTTAATCATATTGTTAATTTCCTTCAAACTCTGTCAAAATGAAAACATCACAATTAAAAATAATACTAAATTTCACAGTTAAAAGAGCTTAATATGTTTGATTAGGTTTTGATTTTTCAAAGTACATTTGTATACTGCAATTAATATTTTCATGTAATAGTCTAATTTTTATCACTGTCAGACCTGCTGCAACTTAAATCTCTAAACTGAATGATCCTTGGCTCCATTTGAGAAAGATATCATTTTATTAAAAGCTAGTGCTTTGCAATCGCATGCCAAAATTCATAAGTTCAACTTTTCCCTCTCTTAGCTGCCTCCCCCACTACACACACACACCCAAATAGTTCAAACAAGATGTTTTGAGAATGGCCATTTCAAACATAGGTTGGTATGCAGCTGCTTTCTTCTCCCAGCTGGATGACCCTGAAACAGCCTTCAAGGAGGATGTGGGGTGGGGAATACAGCAGTTACTCTCGCTTTCCCCAAGCAGCAGTCACTTTCACTTTCCCCCCAAGCAAGGCTCCCCTCCTATCCACCCTCCCCAGAGTTCTTAGCAGACTAGTCACCTCATGGTATCAAAGTATAAGCTGAGTGAGGTGGCAGTTGACAGTCACTTTCAAATTTTCAGTCTAATATTTAATTATCATATTGCTATCTAGATCTTTTAAGAAAGATCAGAAAGACTATACTGAAGTCAACATTTAAGGATTACATTTTTAACTCTTAATTGTAAAAAAAAATATCTTACCTTAGAGGGGCTCCCATTAAATTTATATAATAATGCACTCTTAGGTGTTAGACAAGAACCATTCTTGTGTGGTGAAACATAAAGAGAATGTTGCTGAGAAATTCGCCGAGGAGATATCGGTAGTTGTTTAATGCTGGGGAAGGGGGAAAGTGGAGGTGCTTCCACCTGGGGAGAAAAAAGATTACACTTACTTTTTATTATAACTTGAATTAATGTGTGTTAACTTTGGCACTCTTTTGCATCTGAGGGCTGCTCTTTTAATATTATTGTTTTTATTCCTTCTGGCATCCAGGCAGGACAGTGATATTTCACGATTTCTTTTCCCATAGTACTAGTTGTGTATACGAAGGGTTACACAATTGGATTTTTGTTTGCTTCTGTAATGCAGTTATGGTGATTTTTTTTATTTTGGATACATGTGTTTTCTCAGTTAACTTCTCTTCTAACTGAAGCTTAAAAAATGAGTCATTTCTCTGCTCAAGTTATTTTATACTCCAATTAGCTGATAGCTCTTTTTTCTTCACTTAAGATTTCTAGAAACTGTAGCCATTATTTAGCAAAAACTAAACCAAAATCATCATCAGATAGTTCAGCTGAACTCCAGTTTTTGTTACAGAGATTTTAACTCACAGTATGTTTTTCAAACATTTTAACTTCCCATTAAAATATGAACATTTAGAACATGGTATGTGAAAGGAAAATTATCTGTGAAATACAGATAAATTATTTTTAACTTATGAGTTGCATTTATATCTTGCCTTTCTTTCAAGAGATCAAAGCATGACATATTCACCCTGTGAATTTAATACTTGTAATAACCCCAGGAAATAGATTGGTGACAGTGACTGGTCCAAAGTCATTCAATGGGCTTCATAGCTGAAGAAGAATTTGAATCCTATTTTCCCCACTCCCAATTACTATTCCACAACAATTAAAAATATGCTATGTTATATAATTAAAATAAAAGAACCATGGATTCTTGAATATTAGGAAAAGATGACTGAATTAAGGTGCACGGTCCCTATTTTTTTATTTGCATTTTTATATGCTTTCAAACTGCTAGTTGGCAGAAGCTGGGACAAGTAATGGGCACTCACTCCATTACGCGGTACTAGGGATTCGAACCGCTTAACTGCTGACCTTTCTGATTGACAAGCTCAGCGTCTTAGCCACTGAGTCACCACATCCCTATAAAGATAATATAGATAATATATATAAATAATATAATATAATATTATAGAGATTAGCCTCAAAAAAAAAATGAAAGCAATTTGCAATTATTCCAATAATAGTAGATAGAAACTTTATGTTTTGAAGTACATTATAAGACTGATCTCCCTTGGTTACTAAAAAGATGTTTAAAGGATTAGAAAGATAGTGTAGTAATTAAGTTGTTGAGCTAGGAATAGGGGGACCTAAACTGGGCATCACCTGCTGTTGAAGTTTAATTGATTAAATGTGATTAAGTTTTAGAAAATTTTAGCTAACCCATCCTTATATATTATCTTTGATTTTTTTTCATTTGCTTTAAGTTCTATATTCATACAAACTATGTGATAAATAAGAAGTTTAAAAACTTAGAAAGATAAATAGATCAATTAGTGCAGTTAATGAATCCTAAAAATTGTCGTATTATTCAAATTCACATTTGTTGAAGTGATATTTCTATGGAAAATAGGAAAATTGGTTCCAGCTTAATGGAAATAGGCAATTAACATTTTAAAATATATATGTAACATGCTTATCAATGATTACTGAACATCATTAAATGATAAACCACATGCACTGCATACCTATCTCTTGTATTCTGGTGTAGGTGTTCAAAATGAGCTGCTTTTTAAAGCTTCTCTTGAACAAACAACAGATTTCTTTTAGACAACAGATTGCAGAAAGACTTAAAAGATTTTTAAATGAATTTATCGATCAAAACTGCTGCAAAAAAAATATCAGTCACATGACCACACCTACCTAGCCATGCCCACTTAGCCACGCGCACAGAACCGGTTGTTAAAAAATTGAATCCCACCCCTGGAGATTACTAATATCGGAAGGACATGATTTACAATTAGGAATCCCACTAGTACTTCCACAGGCATTACATGCTCTACTTAAGGTATGGATAAAAATTAAACAGCAACATTACATAAAGACTCCAGCATGGCTCTCAACACTAGAAGCATTAGTGCACCCAAACTTTATGAATTTGAAGAAAGTTATTACATACAAAGAATTATTAAATTAAAAAGGGGAACTAAAATCCAGACAAGAATTGAAAGAAGAAGGGATGCAACTTGAATTGTGGCCGTACCTGCAAATCCAATTAAGATACAGGAAAGATAAAAATGAATGGGAGATATAGAGAGAATGTGTAAAAGCAAAAAAGTACAGGTGGAAAATAAAGGTATGGATAGAAGAGATGATTAGCCAAAAAGTAGAGGTTAGACCAGAAAAGTTCCCACTGGAAATTATTGATGAGAAATATAGTAAAGGAATAACATATTTAATGCTACATATAATGACTGCTGCAAGATTGGTGTATGCCCAAAACTGGAAGAATGCTATAATTTATGGCCAAAATGATGGCCAAGAAAGTTGCACTGTGTTCAACTGTTTTTAATGTTTACTTAATAATAATTTATATTAAAAAAGGAAAGGAAAGGTAAAAGTTGTCCTCTGAGGGAGAATATTCTCTAGCTGAAGATTACTATTGAGATGACCAGCTTTTCTTAATCATATAAGCTGGGAATCTGGTTTTCAATTATAACCTCAATGGGTGTATACTGTTAGAGGTAATCCACTCCTCTTAGTATCTAAGATAAGTGTAAAATAAACAGTAATCGAACTATGAATCCATATAGAAATTTGAGATTCACATACCATATAATCATGGTTGGAAACATATTTCAGTACAAAGTTTATCACTTTTTTTATATAAATAGTGTTGTAAAACATTATAAGATCGCCTCTCTCTTCTTTTTCCAAATCTCTATAATCATTCATCTTCCTGCAGACACCTTTGAAAGGAAGACAGAAGGCAAGATAAATATAATTAGCTTCTAAATTTAAAAAGGGAAGCAGAAAATATATTGTCTTTACACAATGGCTATTTTTCCTCCCTCCTCTTTCCACCACCTTCCCAATCTGCAAAATCAAAGCAAACACCAGTAGATGCTTTATTTGGAAGCAAGTCACAAGAGGAATGTAAGTTAATCTTATATACCATAGAGTTGTAGACTAAATAGTATTGCAATAAATATGGATTGACCTAGTGCACATATATGATATCACCAGATTGCCATGTGTTGAATACAGACCGGGTCCCCTACCCACCACTGTCAGCACAACACATTTCTGTATATAAGCTATATGAAGAAAAGAAAAAACCAGTAAGAAACCATGGCTAAATGTCATGTCAGGAATTAATTTATACTGAGAGTAAACCTATTGAACATGGACATCCTTCTGAGTAAGTACACTTACGTTGGGAAAAATATTGAAGAAACAGTAACATATTTTGAAACCACATGTTTTTTAGAATAGATTTAATTCTATTTCTGGGACTGTTTTCTATAAAATCCAAGTCACTGCAAATATCATGAACTAAAATGCTTTACTTGATCAAAAAATGGTCACAATGCAAATATCTTGATAATATTTGTTAAGCCCACAGGTTAAATTTTCAGCTATATTTTCTTATTTGTTTTATAACATGGTTGTTCCTATTCTCTCCTTTATGTAATAGTTGGCCTTTAAATATGTTAGAATGTTTTAATTTACGATTATATGGAAATAATTTAAATAAAACAGTATTTTCAAACCTATAGACATATTTAAAAAGAACAAAATTGTTTCCATCTAATTTTGAATAATTAGGTAATATATTCTAAATGTTACATATTCAAGAGAATCCTGTTGTCAAGTATACATTTTAGCTTTAAAATAGTATAATATAATTACCACCGTTACCTTCATTTGACATGCTTTCATATTTTACATCTATTACATCAGTTTGTACTTTTTTCAGTAAGACACTTCTGTATACCTAGAGAAGCAAAGACATCAAGATTTTGTAATTTGAGGGAGCATGATTGGAACTATTCTTAAAACTGCAGATAGCATTTAAATAACAAAATATTTATAAATATGCTGAAATATACTTACATAGCTGTTAGCTTGTGGCTGATTTCTATAACTTTTCATTATGTCCTGAAAAGTTCTTTCTTCTTTAGACACCTGAGCAAGAAGCAGTTGCAACTAATTAAAAAGAAAAGGCTCCTACTGATATACATAAACCTAAAATAGCTTTTCACGGCATTTTCAAAGAAGAATCATTGTATATAGCACAACTAGAAAAAAACCCATTCTCTATTCTTTCTGAATCTTGTTAAAAATTTTGAACTCAAATATCATAGAGGTTCACACTAATAAAATTGAAGTATTTAAACTAATTCCACATCTTATTTGCTTAGCAACTGCTAGCTAAGTTTCTCACTTCTAACAAATTAGAGAACATGATTTTTCTTCCCATAATCTACTATTTGATTTTCATATTCATTTTCCACCAATCACATAATTTAGAATTTAAAAAGCTCAGTTAAGAGGAAATTACAGATTGCTTCAAACAATCACAAATACTTTAGATATGAACTGAAATAAGATTGTTAGGAACTGCTGTATAACAAAAATCTGATAAGCTACTAGTGGCAGTAGTAGTAATTTTATTTAACATGTACTTGCAGAGAAAAGTATGTTCTAGAAAAGGACTAATTATGTATAAAATGCAAGGACATCTAATCAAACTTCTCTATAATTATGCTATGCAGTACTTCAGAAAAAATGTAAATTATTTCAAAGCTTGCAAGAACCAATATAGCTCTAAAGCAGCAGTGTCTTCTTTAGGGATCACAGTACATACTGGTTGCTAGAAATAAAAAAGATATTATTGCTTTAAAGAGTTGCACACAGGAGCTACATTTGTGTTCCTACTATCTTTTCCAATTTATTTTCAAAGCATAATCTCTTTTTTTGCCTATAACCATCTGTGCTGTGGTAATAATGGAAAATAGCCTATTACCTATTGCAGCAGTATCCTTTAGCTGGCCAAAGGAAAACATTTATTTAGAGTACCTGGAAACAAAGAACCTAGGAATATGAAAAACATTTTAAGAATATTTGTTCTTTAAGCAATTTATTAAAATAAGGTATTACAAAATTCATTCAATAACATTAAAAAATTACATTTTGAAGGACCTCTTACCTTTGCCATGATATAAAAAGCACAGAGAAGAAGCTGATCCAAGTGTCTCTCTTTCATTAGATCTGTACAATGGACTAACGTGAATTCAAAACAAGTCCATATCTTCCCTCGTAAATCATTGGAAACATCCAGTTTTGAGCATAGATCACGTAATCGAACACTTGCCAAATTGTACACCTAAGAGGAAAGGCCACACTAAGTTATTTTTGTTTGTTTGTTTATTTTCAGGAATTTGAATCCCTTCTGAAAAATAGGTAGTGGTATAATGCAGCTAATTTAAATTTTTTGCAAGTTTATGATTATAATGCTGAAAATTACTGTGTAATTTAATTATTTTCAGGCATCCTTTGAATAATGACTGGATCCAAAGACTCTTTTTAACATGAGATTTTATTATATACATTATAGTTGCTTGACATTATTCAAATTGATAGTATAGAACATAAAAAAATTTGTTTTATATTTTTTGTTTTAAATATGATTTTACATTGTGTAAGCCACCTTCAGTCTCCATGGGCGCATAGGCTGCAATATAAATCAAATAAATAAATAAATAAATAGAACATAAAATGTAGAATGAAATACTGAAACAAAACTGAAAAAATAAAACATTAAAAAATCATAAGGAAGAATTTTCAATAGCTCATTTCCCCGCTTCTTTAGCCATGTTCTTAGCCACTAATCGCTATGCTGGTATTTGTACTTTTCTTGAAATATTGGTCAGGTACACTCAAATGGCTGATTGACGATGTATAACATGGCAAAGCACCTAGACAAGTAGCCTCCTTTACCCATGTCTTTTTATTGACTAAATATTGAATAAATAAGATAAAGGCAGGTTTTGCTACACAAGCTACGCAAATGTGGAAATAGTAATCATTTTTTATCTTGAAAACTAAAACTCAGGAGCCTTTACATAGGAATTCTATCAAGCTTTTAGAAACTCTATATAAAAAGCAACTATCAGATTACTCCTAAAGATACCAGAGAAATATGGCATGACTACTAGGTCTTATCAAATGATGTGTTTTTTTCATCAATTTTTTTCTTCCATATTTATCAATTAAGCCAGAAAAGGTATTAGCCAAGCAGATCTCTGTGCATACAGGTGTTTGCTTTTTGTTCCCTTACCATTTTCATTTTTTCTACTCTTTGAGGATGTAAGACTATTCTTTTTTTGCCTTCTACTTTCTGAGGTCATTATTAATAACTTTCTTGCTTTTGCTTATTAATCATGTCATCATCAGTGATATTAAATATCACTGAACAGTGATATTGTTAAATTAGAACAATTAATCAGTGAAAAGATTTGCTTCCAGAAGTTGTGAATGCTCCAATACTGGAGGTTTTTAAGAAGAGATTGGACAATCATTTGTCTGAAATGTTATAGGGTTTTGCTTAAGAAGGGTTTTGAACTAGAAGACCTCCAATGTCCCTTCCAACTCTGTTATTTTGTTATACTGTATGTTTCCTGACTTGAAATTTATTTGCTAATGAAGGTCTATGATTATTGTTTTAAATAAGTCTCAAATATTCTGGAATATTGATTCTGTTTCTCCTTCATACCCTTCTAATTTGAAGTTTCCTAAAGTTCAATGGACCTACCGTATGTGTGACTTCCTCAGCATTTTCAGTTATGTATATGTTAAATCTGAATGCACTGTAGTCAGTTTATTCCAGATCAAGTGAGGAGTGCTACTCAGAATTAATCCTAAATTGATTTCACAAGCAACTCTATTAGCGCAGTTTTTAAAGAGTTTTTAGAAAGTTAACCTCTTTATCGTTTTTATGAAAAGTTTTGGAACTATCTCGTATACTAGTTGGATATCTCTCTTATTCTAATTTCAACATCACTTTGAGAATTTTAACCAGGGAAATACTCGAAATACAAAAATAGTTTAGGTTTCCATCCATAACTATTCTGCAGGTCATATATTTCTGGCTTTTAAATTGTTATACTATTGGTGCAACACATTGGTAAGGTGCGTATTTTCTTTTTCTTAAAGAGTTTGAATCCAGACATACACTTAAATTCCCTGTTTTGATTTATAAGTTTCTAACATCAACATGTAAGCTCTGCACAAAAGTACCTTTCCATTTTTATGTTACAATTCTTTGTTCTTTCTGACAAGTTATATTCTACTGTGGATTCATATTTGAGTTCATCTCATTGTGATTATAAAAAACCGAATTATCACAAACATTTTTATTTTCTGGAGATTATCTATTATAAGCAGAATAGTCTTCATTTCATGTTAGCTCTCAATGTGTGTTGTGGTTTTAGTAACTCTATTTTTATATAGCTTTTACTGATTTTAACATGTTTAGATTATTTTTACGAAAGATTTCTGCTAGTGGTCATGGTGGAATATTATTTTAATACAAAACATATTTACAAATACATTTTACCTTTCTGAAAAAAAGTGCTAGGGATCCAGTTTTCTTTGGCTTGTTTCCTGTTGAATGAAAAGGTTCACTTGGAGAAGGCTGACTTGGACAAACAGTCATTAAAGCATCAGCACTGAGTGGGACTTGTCCAAAGCTGTCCACTTTAGAGTCTTCAGATATATTGACTGCAATAGGTATCAATGTGATCCTTCCTGTCTCATTTGTATTACCTAAGATATACACAAATGTTATTGACCTGTTGTAATATCCTTTCTTAGGCTAGAATAAACATTCTGAAAATGCATATTAAGTCAATACAGAAGACTCTACATCTTAATACAACCTTAATTTTTTTCAACAGATTAATGTAATTTAGGAATGGTGATTCATGGGCTTACTGAAGTTCCTCATTGTTGCCTCAATAAACACTGCATTTTGTATTTACATTAATGTGTATTTGTCTCTAGCTATTCCTATGATACAACATAAAATGGAGTCAAAAAAATTGGCCAGCCCTGAAATATTTCCCCATGGATACCTCCAAAGCAATGCACTTGTACAAAGATTATACCTAGAAGTAACTAAAGATTTTTTGCTACCCAAGTGAACTCATATTTTATTTCTACACTTTCATCAGGGACTGCCCAGTGATAAGAAGCTAAATTATTTGGATACCAAATACACAAAACGCTATTAAGTAGCTTTCCCCCCCTGCTGGTAAAAAAATGTAACACTAAATTGAACAACATTTTGCTCTTTTTTCATACCCATGTAGGTTGTTTAAGACAATTATTTCAAAAATGTTCCAAAAATGTTCACTACCATTACCCTTTGCCATTAAATATTCTAACAAAAACTGTATTATTTCATACCTACCGTGTAATGGGATTGTTACTTTTTGTCTTGTTACTGCAGTTTGTGCCATACTTAGAGCAATTTCATCAGGTGAAACAGGCATATGCTTGTCTGTTGTCAGCTTCATTGCTTCAGCATATTTTTTTTCTGCAGGTTTTGTGGGAGGGCTTTCATCTCCAAAAAGCCTTCTTTTAGCACTCCCTGCCATAGGAGAATTGTAACGATCATGAATAGAGATTGGAGACAATAGCTGCAAATCTAAAATAAAAGAGAAAAGCATTACTTCAAAATGCAGTAAATCAGAGGAACAAAAATATTTTGTGTTTGGAACTATACAAACTAGACAGTGTTCAAAAGTGGAACATATAATAATGGAATTAGTTTCCATTTTAAAGTAAATTATAATACTATATTCCACTGGAATATTTTTTGAGTTTATATAAGTTGTCACATTTATATCTAACTGAATTTTTCAGTTCTCTACAAACCAAGGAATTTACTAGAAAATGTAGTATACTCAGTTTGTGTAAAATAAGGAGTAAAGAGACAACATTATCTGAAGGATCTGTTCTTTGACAATTCACTCATTTAGAATTCCTCTCCCCAAGGGACATTGAAAATCATGACTATCACTCAGCCTTCTTTCATATTGCTTTAGAATCCATTTCCTGGTACCAATTATTGTCATTTCAATTTGGTTGCACTTTCTCAAACACATGTTACTGAAAGGGATAAGCTTTCATGAGATGCAGCTTATTTCATCAGATCATAGAGTAACTAGGCCAGTGGTGGCTAATCTTTTTGGGCTCCTGTGCCAAAAATTATGCGCACGCTTGCACACTTGCACTCGCATGCCAGCACCCAGAAGGCAATGCGCGCGCCCTCAGGCCCCCTATGCATGCACATGTAATCCCCACCCACCCATCCCCGCCACCCTCTTATCTGCATTGTGCCTCACAACTGATTTTTGGCCTCCCAAAGGCTTGAGGAAGGGTTCTGCGGGTTTTGCAGGCCCCAAAACAGCCCTGTTTCATTACTTCCTGTTTTTCTGAAAATACCGGAAGTGACAAAATGGGGCTAGTTTTCGGCCTGCAAAGGATGCAGAAGCCTGTAGAAGCCTTCCTCAAGCCTTTGGGAGGCCAAGAAAGGCCTTAAACCGGCTGAAAATCAGCTGTGAGGCATGCACATGCCCAGTGAGGTAAGTTTGCCTTCAGCTCACGTGCCAGCACAAATGGCTCTGCATGCCATCTGTGGCACGCATGCCATAGGTTCCCCATCATGGAACTAGACTGATCTAGGATTTAATATGGGATGGGGGGAAGGGAGCTGCGGGGTTATATTGATGCAGGCTACATATGAGAAGATTCCAAGTATCTTATCAATTAACAGTTGTAACATGTTAAAATCAATTGTGTTTGTGGAGACTTTCTGAGATTGCTTGAAACTTTATGTATGTGAGTCCAACAATCTCTTCAATTGTGTTTATTAAAGTCTCATTTTTTCCAAAACACTCTCTTTAAGGTCTGCCATAGAATGTCTTAAGAAGTTGAAATGTTCAGATATTACTTTGTCCTTATACTAAGTCCTGATATCACATTGTGGCCATTAATTATTTTAATACAAGTCTGTCCCATCTAGAGAGGCACTGCTAACAAATCATGGTCTATAATCATATTAGAAGAATAGCATGTGAAGGCACCTTTAATCTTGAGTATGAACTTGTTGGGGCCTGTGAAAGTATAATTGGTATAGATTTGATGCTTTAAAAAATCTGAGTTTCTTGCAAGGACTGGGCAAGGGAGGCCCATAGTGGATTGATACATGTACAGAAGCATACCTGGCATATTTGAGAGGTCACTGAAAGACAGTTTGGTATAATGGTTAAGATATCAGACTAGAAACTAGGAAATTGAGTTCTAGCCTCACAAACCTTAGTCCAGTCTCTTCTCTCAGCCCTAGGAAGAAGGAACTAGTAAGTGACTTCTGAAAAATGCTGCCAAATACTGTAAACCTGCAGGGGGTAGTTGCCAGCAATCAAAACTGACTTAAAGGTATAATGTTTCCCCTGTCACTATTGCACTAAAATAGATTATTGATGCATCAGCAGCATTGGGCCACATTCATACTTGCAGCTAGCCTCCTCACTGTCTTCAACAGTATTTGAAGTATTTGCCTGTACACAGGTGGATAGCCTTGGTATGTCATGGTGGAGAACTGGATGGAAATGACAATTCAAACAAGTTTAGTTACAAAATAACCAGTTCTCTTTTCATAGTCTAGTTTTCTTATTTCCAAGCTCATATCCTTTCCTGTTTTTCTTTGGATGTTTTCTACAACTAATGCTTAAATGTAGAAATATTACAGCACTAACAACATTGAGGTAAAAAAACTTTAGTTGTATGGTTTTCAGAAAGAAAAAAATAAATTATGTTTTGTCTGGATTTTAATTAATTTAATTCTATCACTGTATGTCTCTAAGCAGATGTTCTTTTAGATATAAAATAATTCAACTTACCTCGCCTATGACTGCCCTCATGATTTGTCCGAACCTCTTTTACTCTGGGGTGCATGATAGGAGATGCTGGCATCATAGGAAGATATCCTAATCCTTTTCCTCCATTTCCTGTTTCAAAATTACTCGGAAATATTACCTGTAGAAGAAAAGGTAACAAGTTCAAAAGGTAAAAAAATCATATTGTTTTACAGTTCTGTTATAACTCATGTTTTTAATACAAAGAATTGAGCCTTCACATGTTTTAGTCAGACAGTATTTCCAGCATTTCAAATGAAAATGATATATGTATTAGAATAATTTTTCAGTATTAAATATGACTTATTTGCCAAACAGCATACTTCTTCACAGCGTGGAACTTCATCTTCTGAGGCTTGAAGGGCATCCCAAAGTACAGAGTTTTCTCTCCAGGCTAGATTTTCAAGTATCTGTTCCTCAATGCTGTTGAGGTGTTTTACCATATCTCTGGAGAGTCCTTCTTCCGAACGAATCAATACTTCAATCACCTTAAGTGCAAAAAGTAATTTAGTCACATACATACATAATACAAATCCAAATTTTATCTACCCCAATGTAGGAGCACAAAATACTTCATGTGCATTTCATTTTACAAATTTAAGCGTTTGTGATTTTTCACAGCAAATGATTGTTTAAAATATTTATTTTCCTCAGAATAGTTTTTAAAAGACCATATATAATACCACTTTCTTGCATATCTTAAGCTTTTCCTGTGCTTACCTTATAGAAATAGAATGGCTTGACATTAAGAATATCAATGATCCAGGGAAAAGTTCTTGGTGAACCATATGCAAACAGCACTATTTCAAAACAACATGCAAGCAAAGAGCAATGGAAAATATCTTGTTCTAAAATGGTCTAGAAAGAAGAAGAAAATATTTGAAACCTATAATCATACAAAAATTATTATTGTTTCTTTTTAAAATTTTAAAAATATTTGGAATACCAAATGGATTATTTGGAATTATCTGAAGTTAGATTTTATGGAAATTACTAACATCATAAAGTAACCATGATACTCAATTTTCTGAGTATGAAGAGCTCCAATATTACAACTCATCACAATACTTATTTATACTGCAGTGAAGCAGCCAAAGTTAAGCATTGATACAATAAGCAAAGAACAATAGGTGCCATTGACTCATTTGTTGAATAATGATTAATAGAATATCAAAACATCAATGTCTTAGAAACATGTTGATAGAATATTGCTACTGTGTTTCTCACAAAATAAGGCCAGGCCTTTTTTTTTTTGACCCCTGAAAAAACAGCTAGGCCTCTTTTTGGGGGTGACTTAATTTCCTCCCCCACCTAGAGCGGCCCATTTGCATGTACCTCGCCGCGAGGCCGCTTCTATCAGCCGACGAAAGCTCCCTGAAGGCAGAGTCCCCAGCTGCTTCAGGGCAAGGCGTGGCTGCCTGTGTCCCCTCGCCTTTAGGCAGTCTCTTTCAGGCGATGGAAGCTCCCCAAGTGCAGTCATCGGCCACTTCGATCGGCCAGTAGAAGCGGCCTTGGGGCGAGCGCACACACACACTCCCCTCGCCGCAAGGCCACTTCTATCAGCCGACAAAAGCTCCCTTGAAGGCAGAGTCCCCAGCCACTATCGGCCGATCGAAGTGGCTGGTGACTGCACTTGGGGAGCTTCTATCACCTGAAAGAGACTGCCTAAAGGCGAGGGGACATGGGTAGCCATGCCACGCCCCGAAGCAGCTGGGGACTGCCTTCAGGGGGCTTTCGTCAGCCGAAGCAGCCTCACGGCGAGGGGAGTGTGTGTGTGCGCTCGCCCCGAGGCCGCTTCTACTGGCCGATGACTGCACTTGGGGAGCTTCCATCGCCTGAAAGAAACTGCCTAAAGGCGAGGGGACACAGGCAGCCACGCCACACCCTGAAGCGGCTGGGGACTCTGCCTTCGGGGAGCTTCTATTAGCTATCAGGGTATTCTAGTCTAGGCTACCTTCAGGGCACTCCTAAAGGTAAATTTTCTCCCCACCCCTCTGCCCTTCCCCCACATTTCTCTTCACCTCATGTAGTTCTAACGAACGATGTGAGAAATGGCAGGGAAACGCATGGTTTAAATAGTCCTAAATTTTGGGGGCGGGGCTTAATTTCACCTCATGCCTAGAAAGCATGCTGGGCCTTCCTATTGGTGGAGGCCATATTGCTGGAGAAACACGGTAATTTGAGAAATCAGTTTTATTTTCTTCTTTTGCAAAATAATCAAATCATTATTACAGAACATAATTCATTTTTCGCACCCATTAGTTCACTATCCTTGTATAAGATCACAAGATCACTGAATTTAAAAAATCCCTTTAATATATAAATTTTCAACTCAATGGTATGATAGTTATTATTTTGAACTTTGAATTGCAATCTAGTTTTCCATCACCCTCCCCAAATTTAATAAAACACGGTACCTGCTGTTTGAATTATCCACCAGAAAGCAAACATTTAAAGGACATTAAATACAATGGCCCTGCTACTAACACAATGTCTAAAAGAGGTATTTTGGAATCCTTTAAGATTTGTGAGAAATAACAGAACTTTAGCCCAATGTTATTTATTTCTTTGTGGAAGAAATTTCTTTGCGAAACCCATCCAAACAGATTTGTTCAGGAATATTTCAGTTCATGTAGATTCTGGAGAATCATAGCTTTGAAGAACATTTTTCACAATAAAATATCATTTCCAAAATAAGATAATTCACATGTGAATTGAATGAAGTAACAATAATCTGTGAAAAATATCAGAAGATGTGAGAAGTACCAAAATGGGACATTTTTGACAGACCATGGAGCCTTCATATAGAATGAGGTACAGGTAGTCCTCAACTTATGAACACAATTGAGCCCAAAATTTCCATTGTTAAGCAAGTTGTTAAATGAGTTGTGCCCCATTTTATGACTTTTTGTGATGACCTGGACCATGGCACAAAGGCAACACAATCAGATAATCAGTAGGAATCCCTTAATTAGCTCCAACTTTGCCCCCAATGTCCTGGTTACCTTCTGGGCTGGAAAAAAACTCTCCCAACCTTTGGCTACAGAGAATCAAGTCCAAAATGTGGTCAACAAAAATTGTAACCATAACTCCAGTCAAGGCAAGATGAGGTAATTAGTCGGGCAGGACAAGAGAAGGAATTCCAGACAGCAGTAATGCAACATGGTTGAGAGGATGCCAGGAATGCAGATAACCAAAGTCAACACAAGATAAACTCACGTTTGTTCCCAGAAGATGCCACACTCAGAATGCATCTCTTTTAAACTCTTCCCAGGTGTGGCTAATGAAGGTAATCAGGGCCCTTTCCTCCCCCGTAAGCCATACAACCCACGTTGCTCTCTTCTCTGTTCCTCCCTGCATGCCCTTGGATGAAGATGGGGTGGGCCTGGGTCTTCCTCTGAACTCCCTTTCCCTTGTTCTAACTCTCCACTGCTCTGCCCAGCTGGATTTTGCCCTTCTCCAGCTTCCTCCACAGCCAACAGAGCCACACTCCCACTCCCTGTCAGCTGTTCGTCTTCCTCCTCGGATTCAGACTCCGACAGGGGCATTATATCTTTTTTGCCATGGTTGTTAAGCAAAGCACTGCTTAGTTGTTAAGTAAATCATGTAGTTGTTGTGTGAATCTGGCTTCCACCATTGACTTTGCTTGCTAGAAGATAGAGCTAGGGATGTTACAAATAACCCATGGTCAGTGCAACTGTCATAAATACATGTCAAGTTGTCAGGCACTCAAATTTTGATCACATGACACAAAACAGGAGTCTCCAATCCCCCAGGCCACAGCCCACTACCAGTCCCTAGCATGTTTGAAACCGTGTCACACAAGTGATAGACAAGCATGCTTGAAGCTGCATACCTGCACTTGTGTGAGCGACAGGCAAATGTGCATGCATGAAGTTCCACTCATGTGAGTGGAGCTTTGCACACATGCACAAGTCCCCTCCCAGGCATGATATTCCCCTCTGAAAAAAAAAATCTGAAAAGTAGCCAGGGGTGCCTTTTTTTCCTGACCTCGCCCTCCTCCCCAAATCTAATCAACCGCCCCACACCGCCGACAGGATCCTGGAGGCACCAGATCCTAATTATCAACGGCGGGAAGGGAGTAAAAAAAGAAACGGGAAAAAATTCAGAATTGTTAATCAAGGGAGCTCCGGTTCTAGTCGCCACTCCAAGCTCTTTTTTTTTTTCCCCTCCACGCGACTTCCCGCAGGGGAATTTTCCGGTAAATGAACATTGCTTTCGCTCTCCGGAGGGAGCTGCAGCTGTCTGGCTCTTTCCACATCTCCGCATCCCTGGGAACCCCCCCACCATGCCACCCCCGTCTTCTTCCCTTCTCCCGCCTTCCCCTGCCTCGCAAGGTAGGTAGCCAAGCCGCTGTTCGGCTTGTCCCCTTGCCAAGCCAGCCAGCCAGCCCGCACGCCCGCTGCAGGGATGATTTGCCACCATGGGAATCGGCTACCTCTCCAGCTCGACTCCCTCCCAAAAATTCGGCCATGCATTTTATTTTTATTTTTTTCTTTCTTTCTTTTTTTTGCATGCCTTGAGAAACACAACTTCCTTCTCCCAACCACCCAAAAGAAGATGATGACAGCGGGAGGCAGGAGTCACTTTCTCCCTTGCAAGCCCCCCAGCTCCCGGGGCTGGCGAAAAAAGCAAGAGCCCTTCTTACAATCTCTGTCTCTGTTACCGGAATACAGTCAAGCCCTTTCCAGCATGCGCGATTCGCCACCGCCGCTTTGCACCTTGCAAATACAAAAACCACGGAGGGCTCCGGGATTTTGTTTTTGCAAAGAGCAGCACGAGCAAAGAAGAGCAGCCAGCCAGCAATCTGCTACCGGTAATCCAAACTAATAGCGCTGCTTATTGAGTCGGAGGTGGGGGGGGAGGTAGGAATTAGGGGGAGGGGACAGAGTGGGTGAGGAACAGGAGAGGAGTTGCCTTGGAAACCATGCAAGAACTTTTCTGCTTCCGATTACCCCCATGCTTACAAGTTGCAAAGGAAACACGGAACTCAAAACAGCCCAGCTGCGCGGCTCGGCTCGGTTCGGGTCTTCCTCCCCACCACTTAAAAACATGGAGTTCCAGCGCTTCCCACGCTTGCAAGCGGAGAGAACCGGCTGGCTTTTTTCCACCGACTAGTAGCAACTTTGCAAAAAAAGCATAATAATGATAATAATGATGATGATGATGATGATCGGAAAATAAAAAAATTGGAATTCCGATTTTAGTCGGAAGAATATCATGTATGCCTCCACTTTGCTTGCGTGAGTGGAACTTGGCATGAGAGTGCATGTACCCACCACTCATGCAAGGGGAGCTTCATGTGCAATGAAAGGACCCACCACTCGTACGCAAAACTTCATTTGTGTAAATAGAGGGTCCATGTCCACCACTCGCAACAATGGAGCTGTGTGCACATTCACCCACTCACACTCAACCTCCCCGTGCCATGCCTACAAGCTGTAAAGATTGGGGACCACTGATCTAAAGGACAAAATGAACTGGAGGAAAAGTAATATAAATGAAGACTGATGTGCTCAAGCTACTTTATATTGATATTTGGTTCAACTACAGAATTGTTGCTTCTCAAAAAATTGACAAGGTTAGTGTCTCCAGTTCTTCTCAAAACCTTTTAACCAGAAACACTAAAACTTACTTATGAGATCTTCTCAGTATGTGCTCCATCAAAAAACCTTGTATAAATTTAAGCCAAATTCTATTTTTAGAATGAAAAAACAATTAAAGCAAATAACAAGTGAATTATGAAACCGTTTGATTTTTTTAAAAAATATTCTATTATTTTTCTACATAGTTCTGAACTTACAGACATGTCTTTGCCAGGCAGCCTTCTCTTTTCTTGTATCATTATAGTTTCCAAACTTTTATAATACAAAATTTCTGCCAATTTTAATCGGTGAAGAGCGAAATCTGAAAAATTAAGTCAAATACTGATGTTTAATGATTAATAATGCATAAATAAAAAGATTAAAAGCTTGTCCAGTTTATCTGTAATTTTTCTATAAAACAGTATGTGACTTTATATTGATAAAGAAGGCATTAAAGGCACATCTTAAAGAGTAAATTGTATGCAGTATTATCAAACAACAATTTCCGCTATTTTTAGTATTTATATTTGAGTAAATGAATATAGACCTGTTAATGCAGGAGATATTTAATAATAGTTAGAAAAACCCAGCATAAAACCTGTGGATAAATATATGCCAGATTTGTTATAACTTCTTATGTAAGTAATTTGTTATTATTCTATAATATTCATATATGCATATACATATCCAGATAGATAGATAGATAGATAGATAGATAGATAGATAGATAGATAGATAGACAGACAGATATACATACAGATATTGATCACAATACATACTATATACATGGTGGAAGAGAGTCTTGATAGTTAACAAGGTTGATACTATATGATATAAAGCTATTACAGAAACTAATTGTTCTGTCTCAAAAATTGTGAAGCCTCCTCCCAGAAGGTAACAAAAAAAACTGGTCATGGAGAGGATGTGTAGCGTCCCTGACAATACTGTGGACCCTGGTCAAGCATCATTTATATGCTATATCCTGGATAGAAGGAAGTGAACTTCCAATACTTTTTTCTGCCATCTTCACCACTCTCTGCACCACCTTCCTGTCTGAAATAGTAAGACTTCCAAAGCACACAATAATACAATGCGACAGGATGCTTTCAATCATGACAGGATGCTATAATATTATATAATTGATGTTATTTAATAGATTTAGAGGTCACCAAATTCTAAAACTGTCTTTAGTCCTGTTTGTACTCTAGAAAATCAATCATTATTTTGTTTACTTCTATAAAACTAGCAAAATGGAACAAATTTTCTCGATAAAATTCTAGACAAGGATTTTCATAAGAATAAGCAATTTTAGTGGAACCATTTCATTTCCAGACTCTTCAGAGGAATATAAAAATTCTTGAGCAGAATGTTTTAAGTCTTCTTTTGTAATACTTTATACCTTCAAAGTTATAATATAGAGAACAATCAGAGTCATCTGTGAAATAAAGTTTGCATTTTTATGGTAGTAATTGTTCATCAAAACAGGGACCAACAATATATAATTTCCTACATTCTATGCAGTTAATTAGCTGTTAATTAACTCAATGTGTATCTCTGAGACCGAAGAGAGAAATATTCTTTTAATAGCTTTGGCTTTGCGACATATAATTTTTTTCATGTTCTTACCTAAATGGCATACTAGTTGATTATTGACAGAGAGAGTATAATTCTGACGGAAAATATCACCTATCTTTTTTACTCTTTTCAGGATATTCTCCATAGGATTCCGTATACATGATCTATAGTAGAATATAAAAAAGACATACTTTAAACATGATTAGCAAATAGCATCATGTTTAAAATAAAACATTAATATGCATTCAAACTAATTACAGGTGATGTAATATTTTTTAAAATAAACTTTACAAACAAAAAGTCTCCCATGATCATTTTAACAAATAGGTGCTTAATTTTCCCTGGTATCATTTGAGGTTACAATTCAGGAAACATAGCATAGTTGTTTATTATCAAATAAAACATCAAATATTCTAAGATATCATCAGAAAAATGAAAGACAGAAGTTAGAGATATGAGCAACATAAAGCAAATGAAATACAACTTACTCAAAAATAGCTACAAGCTGTTCACTTGGTGCATTTTTCAACCCTGCTACAATACTTTGTAACCGGCTCACACTCTGTGTTGCAGAAGCAACTGGTGTAATTACTGATTCCTTCTCTTTCAAATAATTCCTGCCAGTTAAAGGGGTTGATGGTGCAAAGGATCTTTTCTGAAAGTCAAATTAAATTTGTTTAAATTGTTTTGGCCAACTGGGTAGACCAACACCACTATATAAATTTCAACAATTACAACATTACAACAGATTCATTCTCAGACTTTCCTATGACAACAGGTCTTTTGTGCCAAAATCTATTGAGTTTCAGATAGTCTGAAATGGGTGGAGAATATCGCTGTTCCTCACACAACCCTCCCGCCTCCAAATCTTTCAATTATATGCACAATGAATTATGTATGACCTGTAAAATTATTGGTTTCAGCTAATATGGCAAGTCTCTATCCATCATGGTGGAAATAAACCTTAATCATTTTCAGTCTATATACCTCCTACATATTCAGTTCCTGACCTCTGAAAATCAGTTACGTAATAGTTTAGCAGTAAGTTCAACATACTTTCCACATATTTGGCAATATTCATTTATCTGCACTAAAAACAGATTAACCATTCCAGCGGTGTGAGAGCACCATAGAAAGATCCTTTTTTCAAAATTTTTATAACTGCTTGCCATGTCAGAGATAATTAATGACTAGGCTAAAGATATTCCATTCCAGTTATTCTTTAATATTCTTTAAGACTATAACAGATGCATTTGTTTAAAACAAATTACCTCAAAATGTTGTTGAAGATGACATTCAGCATGAGCTCTTATATTTCCGCATGGTGTAGCTGCACAACATTTTTGAGGTGTTCCAATTTCTTCTTCTGCGTCTGCTCCCAAGAAAATTCTTTCATCAAAATCACCTTTTGTGAGAACATATTCTTCGTATTCTTTATTCAGGGCTTTGCTTAAAAAACAAGTAATACGTAATGTTGATTTATTATTCCTTATTAATATATACTCAATTATATTTTTTCTTATCTTCCTGCTGATTAAAAAAAATGAATACATTGATGTGATAGCAGGGGAAATGAAGCACCCACAACTGTATTATATAAAGATCTTTAAAACTCCAATCTTCTTTCATGATGCTGGAAACATTCTGATTAAATGCTTAGAGACCGCTCTGAGAGGGACCAACAGACCGAAGCTGTGGACGGTTGTCTGGCCCAAACCGGTTGTTGTATGCCTGCCGTTATGCCTTTTTGAATTGCCAACTCCATCCATGCTCTCATGCTGGCGGGGATTTCCTCCGGAAGTTGCTCTTCCTGACAAAGGCCAGCTGCAGTTGGTGTAAATGTCGCCTCCAGGGCCCTCCTTGGGGTGGGCACAGTAGAGGGGGCCTCTTGGAGAACCTGTCTAGCTATGCTGTGCCTTCTAGACAAGTCCTGGGGCAAGGGCTTGGGGCCTGAGCGGTGTTAGGAGGAATGTGTGAGGATGATGCAGCCTGTCCCGTTTCCCTGGTACGTTTTTCGACCTGTTTTTCTAAGTTTTTCCTTTTCAGCTGCCTTGAGGGCTTTTTGGGCTCCGTGGACTTGTCCTGGGTCTTGGATACCACTCTGGATTTAGAATTGTAACTGCTTGCCATTATAGATCTTGTTTGTCAAGCTCAATATTTAAGGAGACTGTGAGGTGTGGTGGCTGGCACACCTAGGGGCCTGCTCCCTTAAGGGGCATGTGATCCTTGTTAATAGTTATTCCCCCTTTGTTTCTTCTTCTTCTTCTTTTTTTGTTTTGGGAAGGTAATGAACCCTCCTTCAATTTGCTTCCGAATTGATTAAACTTGCAATTGTCCAATGAGAAGATTTAAGAGAGAAATTTGAATGAAAACCAATTCTAGAAACAATTTCAGAACGAATTCCAATTTAGGTGCAGAACACCCCCTCAGACCAATATCCTGTAATAAGGACAAAGAGGCCTGCAACTGGCAACCTGCACAGACATTAAAACCTATTGCATATAGTTGAGCTGCTTAATTGGTTGCTGTGAGGCTGAGCCAGCAGACTAAAATTCGCTACCACCCAGAGAAACTGGGGGTAGGGAAGCCTTTCCCCAGGTCCCCAGGAAGGGAAACCTAGCAGGGAAAATCCTCCCAGTCAACAACCAGACCGATGGAATCGCCATGCGGCTGACTTAAAATGGCGGCCACCTCATGGTGCGATGTGGGGAGAGCAGCTAATCATTGCCCGATCTGCCGCAGGCAAAACCGCTCAGTGGGAAGGGTACAGAGGCTAAGTCTCTGCCCTCGAAGATGCTCTGCGGGGGAAAACTTCAGTCGCTGTCTGTGCACTCGTTGTTGGGAGCTGCACCAGACGATCAGAAAGAAGATTTTCTTTTGTTTGCGGTTTTGGAGGCTTTCGCCTCAAGTGAAATCAGATCGTTCAGAGCAGCAGGTAAACGATCGGAAAGATAAGCCTCTGTTCTTTTTTTGAGAGCCTCTGTTCTGTTTTGAGGCCGCCGCCTCCGTTGCGCTTGTGCTCTTAATCTTGCGAGCAATTTAATAAGTCCCGACGGCCAGATGGTAATGTGGAAAGCCTACGGAAGCTACAGAGGTTTCTAATGAATGAGGGATTCCCCAAATGTAATAAAGCACCAAACCTCGGTCTGTAATTCTCTGAAATTTCTAGCTTTATTCCAGCCAAAGTACAAACTGCCTGTTTCTATGAAGGCTGAGCTAAAACTGGGGGCGCTAATGAGGAGTCCCATGGAGGAGGAGGAGTGTCCTCACAATTAAGCCCAGTCTATTTTGGAAGAGACTGAAGCACCTCCCACTACTCGATGCTCTGAACAGCTCATGGGAGAATGGGGTAGTTTCAAAGTTTTTTTATTTCTAGGACTTGAAATCTAACATAAATAAATTCCCTAAATCCTATCCATAGCCTGTTCAGGGTAATTATAATATGGTTTCACCTAACATTCATAAATACTCCCCAACAGCAATTCACCTTATATCCCAGAGACAACAGTAAAAACATTAGTATTAAAAATCCAGTGAGCAAATATTCCAACAGCTACCATGTTTGTTATTCAAAATCAATCTAATTTGCATGCTAAAATCACACAGAACAGCCACTTTTAGAATATTTTAATATATATTTTAAACAGTGTGATTAAACAAAACACTTACTTGTTATTTACAAAGTTGCTTGGATCCAAGAGACAATCTCCTTTTAAAATCTAAAATCATTAGAAAAGCAGAAACAGATAAACAAAAACGTATCAGATTATTTTCTGATAGTCTAAGTAGTTTGTTGTAGTTAGGAAACTAGAATTGAATATTGCTTTCTTTTATTAAACTTTTTTAAATAAAAGAAAGCAATATTCAATTCTAGTTTCCTAATTTTTTTATCCACTCATGCAAAGCTCATAAGCTTCTAGTTTATTATGTCAGAATTAATACTTTATTGTGAAGATAAGTGTTCTCCTAGAGAACTGTTACTATTCAAACACTGAGTAAAATTGAAAATAAATAATAAGCCCACCTCTCTGTACGTCAAAATTGGATTGCAATACAGGTAGTCCTTGACTTACGACCACAATTAATCTCAAAATTTCTGTTGCTAAGCAAAGCATTTGTTAAGGGAGTGTTCCCCATTTTATGACTTTTCTTGCCATAATTGTTAAGTGAATCACCAGAGTTAAGTTAGTAACATAGTTGTTAAGTGCATCTGGCTTTCCTATTGACTTTGCTTGTCAGAAGCTTGCAAAAGTTGGTCACATGGCCCTGGACCACTGCAACTGTCATAAATGTAACTCAGTTACCAAGTGTCTGAATTTAGATCATGTCACCATGGGGATGCTGCAATGGTCATAAGTGTGAAAAATGGTCAGAAGTCACTTTTTTCGGTGCAGTTGCAACCTCACTAAATGAACAGTTGTATGTCAAGGACTACCTGTACCCATACTGTTACTAAACAGAGAGACCATTGCAGGAATGGGATCCGACCGGTATAACTACCGGTTCGGTGATTTACCTTTTGCACGTGTGAACATTGTCAGCTTGCAGCCTGGACAGCTGAGCAGCGCTGCACGCAGGTGCACAGCAATTGGAAAAGCACTTTTTCCCTGCTTTTTCAACTGCAGCTGTGCCACACAAAGCAGCTGAGGTTGAAAAAGCAGGAAATAAAGGTCAGGTAAGAGCCCGGGCAGGCGGGTGGGCTAAAACAGCAGCAGACATAGAACCGGTTCTATGTCTGCTGTTCTTTAGAGCTACCAGTTCTACAGATCCAGACAGAACCAGTAGAATCCCACCCCTGGACCATTGGTAATTGTAGAAACAAATGCTTTCTTTGTAGATGCCTTCAATAGAGAAATCATAATCAACTACCAATCCTAATATTTCTTTAATTTTAACTATTTATATTGTAGGCTCCAACCTAAGCACTGTTCAGCTTTATTGTTCTTGAACTCCTAGAATTCTCAACTATGGCAATGCTCATGGAGAATGCTGGGAGTTCCAGAAGTCCATATTTCTGAAAAATATCATGTTGGTGAAGATGCCATATTGTAATACACTAACACACTGTATAACAGTGTTGGTAGAAAGGTTGTTTGTAAGAGTTGAATTGCTTGATAGCACTAATAAGTACAATAGGCAGAGTGTTTCTAACTTCTGATCAAAGCCAGAAGAAAAAGGGTTTTTGGGGAAAAGGTAAATACAGTGCTATAATTTACAAGAGATAAAGATTGTAGTCAGAGGTGATATTCAGCCAGTTCAGACTGGTCCTGGCGTACCAGTAGCAGAAATTTTGACTAGTTCAGAGAACTGGAGAACCTCTAGCTGGCTCCGCCCACCCACCCCCACCTTTACTTCTCTTACATTCCCTTGTTTTTTTAGCTCAACTGATTTGCATGGCAGAGCGGATTGTCGCGCCTCAGCTGAGCTAAAAAACAGCAGAACTCACCAATGTTGACACAGAGGGCGGTCCTTGAGCCCTGCCCGCACACACACAAAGCGCTCTCTTAAAACCAGCAAGAAAAAAATTTGGAAACTCACCAATTGTAGTTTCATAGCTAAATCTTTGACAGTACATTTCCAAGTATTCATTTAAAATGAACATTCCAGATAAAAATTGTTCCTCCTAGCCATGAAAACTTTAAACACAATTACATGATTAGTTACTCATAATTACTTTTGATTGTATACCTTCCTATCATAGAGCTTTGAAATATATGGCTTAAAGTAATGTTCTTTTATGCCTTTGGCATCTACCAAAAGTCCATCATGTAATTCACACAGTGTAGAAATAATGCATGGTGGCCTTTCAGAAGTTCTGGAGTCAGTTGTATGAAAGTCTTCTTGCAAACCTTTACAAAAAAAGAAAAGAAAAGCTCAATAAATTTATTATGTATTCATTTTTAAAAACAAATTAAAAGTTTGCATTGTAGTTGGGAGAAGATAATAAGGAATGTACCTTTGAAAGATGGATTTATTAAATCTTTTTTATATGGACACAAAAGTGCACTTGCAAAAACCATATCCAAGCAGCATAAAAGTAAATGATATGAGTTCACTAGATCATCTCCAATCATACTGAAATTACCTTTAAAACAGAATACATCCAGTCATTTAACAATACAGCTAAAATATTTAATAAAAAACAGGCAATAAAGTTCAGTCATTATAAAATTACCCTTTGTGTAGACAAATAGAGTCCAGCAGAAGTTGAATAGATCTTTAGCACTACAGGGTACCCGTCTGTTGGAAGAGAAGTCTCATTTTAATTCTAAATTATTACTTAGAATTACTGAAAATAACACAGAAGACTTAGATTCTATTACTTTTAAGAAGAGCCATAAATGATTATAGCAACTTAACACACCATTTTGGTATGTTCAAGCATCTGCTACCATACCAATCCTATTGTATCCATGTTTTTACATATACAATATTCCATTAAAAGGTTCACACCATATTATACAAGCCCTTTACTTTCTCAACTACATTACTGAGAAAGATGTCTTGGAGTCTGTATACCAAGGAATTTTATAATATCATATATTTCTATTGCTCACTTTACTTTTTTTAGCAACATGAAATCAAAAATATCACAAAACCTTTGAACATCTTACCTTTGTTTCCTGCTTCTTTGAAATTTAGGTTGTTCTTCATAAGGATTTTTAAATATATCTAAAAAGATTGGGGTATATTTTTTGAATATTACTGTGGACACTTCAAAGTTTCTCTCCAACTTCTCTATTCTCTCTCGAAATTCTTGACACAGGTTTGACATGTCCATCCATTTTTTCATTTTACTAAAAAACTGAATTAAGCTTAAAAGAAAACAAATCAAATTATATATTTAATTTCCGTAGATATTCTCAGTCTATTTTATAACAATTTCATTCACAATGCATTAATACAAGTGTATCACTTAATGTTAATGAACACAGCTGAAAATGCAAATAGACTTCACTAAAACTGCTAACTGTATTAATATCAAAGTCATTAGGTAAACATGACTGAACCAGCTAATTATAATCCTGTAAAATAGGCATGTGAAAAATGGTGATTAGCATTACTCGGTGTACTTGATTACACTGATTTGTTGAACAATGGTTTATGAATACACTAACAATGGCTGGATTCATACTATACACTAAATCAAACAAAAATCACATTATAGTTTAATATTTAATTATTTGACTAGACCGCCTACTTACATAAAGTCTTACGTCCAATATATTAATGTTATTCTTTCTTTGGAATTCTTAATAAAAAACAAGATCAAGTCTCTGTGCTACTCTTAACAATGACCTTAAGTCATTTTTATTTGCTTTTGGTTTAGCATATTGTATTTACTCAATTATTGTGGCTTATAAAATACCATAAAGACATTTTTCTGTCAGTCATCGTTCCTTATCCCTTACAACATACCATGTCTTAGACTGATCTGTTCAGTTAATATAATTACTATATCCCTCTTTACCTTGCTGCCTATGATCCTTAATAAGAAACAGTAAATACATTTAACGCTGAACTGTTACATAACCATTTTAATATCACAACAAAAATGCTTTATTTAGGTAACAATTGATAATGCTTTATTTAGGTAACTAGTAACATAATCATTGTTATAACATTAACCAAAGTGCAGATACCAAGTTCACTGAAATTCCCACAAGGAATGTTAATCTCACTTGTATCAGGGGTAGACAATAAGAATAGGCATTCATTTATGCAAGCTTTGAACTGAAATTAAGATTTCTATTGCACTTTTAGACTAGAATGGCACAGGGAATATTGTTTAAAACAAAAATACCTTAACTTTGCAGAACGCAGAATTCTGGTCAGTGAGACACAATTTCCTTTCATCAAACTACTTCCTACAGTAGGCACTACACTTCTACGGCAAGCAACATAGAGAGCACAAGCCAACCAATGTATAACGTCTCCCTGCAAAAATACGTTATTTACAGTCTTTAGGAGTAATAATGCTGATTATAGTGTGAATAAATACTCACTTTTATAAACCAAGTAGCTTTATAAATTATTAAGAGCAATTCTGATTTGGTAGATGAAAAGTTTTTTAATGTATTTAATTTACAACATTAAATGTAAAATTTAATAAATACTTCTTTAACTCAAGCTATGTTATTTCACTTTATTAGAATATTTTAATTGTTGATATTTTAAATTTAAATGACTCCTACTGTTATAAGAGATTGTGCCTAAATATAATTTTATTTTCATTCAGTGTTTTATGTTTTTATGCTTATTCATTTTACTGCTTTAAGCAGCTTTCTATTCTGATTATTGGATGAAATAAAGTAAAATTTAATTAATTTTTTTATCTTTAAACTCCCTTTGGACAAAACCACTGGGAGGCAAGTTCTTTGAAAGATCTATTAAAATATATGAACTACATTCTGATATGATTGCCAGTTTACAAAGAATAATGGTGTACAGCATTTCACGTGAAAAAAATTACTTCATTTTTCAATTGAATTCTCAATGTCATAATTCTCTGCCTTGCATAGTCACATGAAAACAGTTCTTTTAAACCAAAGAATCTAATAACTACCAGTAGTCCTCAACTTACAACCATTTGTTCAGTGGCCATTCAAATTTATGATATTGCTGGAAAATTGGACTTGCAATATGTACCTGAAGTTACAGCTGCTGCAGTGCCCCCAGCTTCATGATTAAAATTCAGCCACCTAGCAGCTTGCATGCACTTATGACCTGCAGCTTTAGCTGGAAATGGGAGGTTTCCAAAGGCTTTATTTTAATCAAAAAAAATCTATCATTCAATATTTAACCCTATCCTATTCCCAAGGACCATTTATTCAATTTGAGAAGTGAAATTCTGTCCGGAGGCCAACATTCCAGCAACTCAGGCTACCTATCTATTCTATTAGCAGACATTTCTTATACAGATAGTCCTTGACTTATAACCATAATTGTGCCCAGCATTTCTGTTGCTTGGTGAGACATTTGTTAAGTAAGTTTTGCCCCATTTTACAACCTTTCTTGCCGTAATTGTTAAATGCAGTGCAGTGGTTAAATTAGTAAAACAACTGTTAAGTGAATCTGGCTTCTCAATTGACTTTTGTCAGGTTGCAAAATGTGATCATGTGACCCCAGGACACTGCAACCATAATAAACGAGTCAGTTGCTAAGAGCCATGGTGGCACAATGGTTAGAATGCAATATTGCAGTCTAATTCTGCCAACTGCCACCTGTTTGATCCTGACCAGCTCAAGGTTGACTCAGCCGTCCATATTTCCGAGGTTGGTAAAATGAGAACTCAGATTGTTGGAAGAAATATGCTGACTCTGCAAACCACTTAGAGAGGGCCGTAAAGTTCTATAAAGCTGTATAGAAATCTAAGTGTGATTGATGTCTGAATTTTGATTATGTGACCATGGGTATGCTACAAGTCATAAATGTGAAAAATGGTAATAAGTCACTGTTTTCAGTGCTGTTGTGATTTTAAATGGTCACTAAATGAACTGTTATAAATTGAGAACTACCTGTACCTGTTTCCATTTTGATGTTTATGAAGGTTTATCTATAATTCAAGTGATCTTTATACATCTTGAAGGTATTTTATGTTTTGTCCCAAGGCTCCTCTGAAATTCTTTTGTGGATTTTGAATTCCTTTATTTCATTAGCTAGTCAAACAACTACTATGTATGTGTATAGAAATTTAGCAGGTATTTTAAGAAATCTAACTGAAACAGTAGGAAAATAAAAATATTATAAGACTGCAGAATGAAAGCTCAGAGGATGATATTGAAGATTGCAGTATCTTTTATTCCAATAAACTTTATTAAAAGTGTATTTTCAGTATTTAATGCAAACCCCACAAATACCAAAATAAACTAAAAATTATGCCAGCTTTTTAACATATCTCACATGACATGTGAAAGAAATGTGTTATACTCTGCCAGCTCATACATCTCATTAAAATGTAGCATAAAATGAAACTGGAGACATATAAAAGAACATTATTTCCTTTGTTGTGGAAATACCTTGTTTGGAATTCCATAATCTAGAATAGTGTAAAAATCATTGATTTGCTCAATAACTCAGTTTTCTAGGTTCATACAATATACTGAATCATAAACCTTACAATTTGGAGTCACATAACATGACTCCAAAAGTTATAACTCTAAGTTATACATTATAATTCACTATTTTTATACTTCATCATATCAAGGGATAATCATCCTATATTTGGAAAGTAATTCTTATTAGTTAATAACTTTTTTCAATGTGATTAGTATTCAGTATTTACATGTTAAGACTTCTAAAACTGTAGTACAGAAAAAGCAAGGCTCCATAATTCCTACTCCCTGAGGCAATATTTTAATAACATCTTCAAGGAAATGATCAAATAAAGAGTTAAAATAACACAGCACAAGAAGTTCAGGCCATCTGCATTTTTTTTCCCCTTGGTATTCCGCTTTCTATCAAACTCCTTCCCGGGCTTTTCTGTGACTTATTTGCCTTGAGTTAAATGGTTCTTCTGTGGATCTCAGAAGATTTAAGACTCGTCAATGATCGTTCTTACTTCCATGTACCTTTGGCGAGCATTCATCCTTTCCGACGTCCACCCATAAGGCCGCTGAAGGTCCCTGGGTCACGATTAAGTGCTTAAAAAGGCAGTAAGAAAAGCCTCCTCGGGAACGGGACACTTGGCAGCCCCGCTCAGGACATGCCCTAGTCGAGTGTTGCCGAGGCCCACAGGAGCCCCAATCTTGGATTATGTACACGCACACACATTCACACATACACACACACACCAAGAACAAGGAAGCCCCGGGCTCTGCGTTGCCACCTGGGCATTTAACCAGCTGCAGGGATTCAGCCGGCCGGCCAGCCACCCAGGTACCATCCCCTTCCTTGACAGACAAGCCGCCTCCCCACCTCAAGGCTGTAGGTGCCCCGCAAGGCTGTGAAATCTCGAAGAGCTGCCGAAGCGCTGTCAACGTCCAGATTGAGTTCCTGACACAAATGGTTGAGGGCGGCCCGGACAGGGCACTGCACAGCGGCAGCCTCCTCTCCTTCCTGCGACATGAGAGCAACCGTCCCCTCAGCCATCGGCGCCGCTCCTCTACCCACAATGCTTTCCGCCGAGCGCGCCAAAACCCTCAGCCTGTAAGTGGCCAAGGAGACGCCCTTTCCGCCCCGCCCCTTTTCCCCTTCCTCGGTTACGCGAGGCTGGCGGCTGGTCGGAGCCTTCGCTTAGCGGGTGCTTACGTCATTGTGTTTTGCATAGCCTCGAGCATCTTTGAGAACGGCGAGGGAGGTTCGCGCAATATACATTGTGGCTCCTGCATGGTACCAACTCCGACCTTGGCAACTTTAAACCTGGCGGACTTCAACTCTCAGAATTCCCCAGCCAGCCGGAGGCTGGGGAATTCTGGGAGTTGAAGTCCGCCAGGCTTAAAGTTGCCAAGGTTGGCGACCTCTGAACTACAGGACGTTTGCCATTCCTCTTCTTAGGCACAGTTAGCGGGGAACAATGCCGAGAGACGTTGATTCTCGGTTTTATTTATTTATTTATTAGAATTTGTCGAACAAAAACTGACAAGAAGAATAAAAGGGACGTGCATAAGCGCACCAACGTGCCTAATTGTCCCTGTCCTAATGTTCCCTTTTATTCTTTCCCATTTCATGTAATCGTGATTATACTTATATCTGTTATCTAATACATGCTTGACAAATAAAAGAAATAATTACTATTGACCTCACCCCTTTCCTAAGAGGACTGTAGGGGGCGTGCATAAGCGCACCAAAGTGCCTACCATCCCTGTCCTATTGTTTCTTTTATTTTTCTTATATATATTTTTCTTATACCCATTTCATGTATTCATAACTATGTGTATACTTATACCTATTATCTTGTAAGCAATTGACAAATCAAATAAATAAAATCAAATAAATAAATAAATAAAAATGAAAATACAATGACAGGGATGATAGGCACTTATGCACGCCCCCTCTACTGACCACTTAAGTATGAAGTAAGGTCTGCAGAAGTCAACTTGTGACTTTAACTTTTAAACGCTTGGCTTAGAGCAGGCTTGTCCAACCCGTGGCCCGCGGGCCGCATGCGGCCCAGGTCGGCTCGTAATGCGGCCCAGTGCCCACCCCAACCTTCGTGCAAAAGGACAAGCCAGCGAGGAGGAGGAGGAGGAGAGGCAGGCGCGAGGCGGGGCGAGCGCCACGCCAAGCAGCAACAGAAAAGGCGGGCGCCGTCAGAGCCAAAATATCTGATGAGCACCTTGAGCACTCACTGAGAATTGCAACAAGTGCCATCGAAGCAAATATGGATGCATTGGTGGCTGAGAAACAATGTTAAACATCTCACTAACTTCATTTCCAAATAAATTTAATATGTTAACTATGTTTTCTATGGCTTTTTTGGATGATCAGGTATCGTTACTGTTATTTTATTTTATGTGTGGCCCAAACCAAATTTTCATCTTCTAATGTGGCCCAGGGAAGGTGAAAGGTTGGACAAGCCTGGCTTGAAAGCCCCTTTTTCACAATTTGCAGGGAAGAGTCCAGCCTTCTCAAATGGAGTGCTATCGGGTGCAAAGGCTTAGGAACAATTGTTACGTCTAAGTAACACCATTACTTCATAATTCTCTGGAGATGGTATGTTTTTATAGAAGAAGAATATTATATATAACCTGAAATCCAATAATCTCAGATGGTAATAAATACAGAGATTATTAATAGCACTTACCTGTGTATATTGGTTATGATACGTTATTGCGTTTATTTAGGACAGTAACATCCAAGAGGGCATATTCGTCATTAATAGACAGAATTCATTCACTCCTGCCAATATGAGTACAGGTAGTACTCAATTTACAACTACAATTGACACCTAAATTTCCATTGTTAAGCAAGGTGGCGGTTATATGAGGCATACCCAATTTTAGGACATTTCTTGCCATGCTTTTAAGCAAATCACTGCAGTTGTTAAGTGAATCATAGTTAAGTAACTCTAGGTTCCCCTCCCCCCACTTGACTTTGCTTGTCCAGAGCTGCCTTTGAATATCACAAATAGTGATCACATGACTGCAAACATTGTAAATACATGCTGGTTGCCAATGTCCAAATTTTGATCATGTGACTGGGGATACTGCAACAGTCATAAGTCACTTTTTCAATATTGTAACTTTGAATGCTCACTAAGCTTTATGTTGAGTAAAAGAAAACACTTTTTCTTCCTGGCAGTTCCGGTCAACCTGATATTATTCTAAATTTGGTAAGACCTAGTTATGTAATGGGCAGAATGAATAACCTTTTTGGAATAGAAGGAAGAGAGACTACTGAGACCACAGTCAAATACAGGTAGTTCTTGGTTTAAGTCCATGGTAACAACTGAAATTTATGTGTGACCTATGCCAGCCCTCTGATCCATACATGGTCTGCACTCAGCCTCCCACACTCTCCTCTTCTCCGCACCACACATGTCCATCCCACAGCATTCCTGCAGTGGGAATCCTGTAGCTTCCTGCTAAATGACCTACCCATGTCTTGGAGTTGCAACAGAAATTGGGAAAGCCAGATTTGCTGTCACTAAGCAAATCAGTCATGATTTCACATTTCACAACATTGCTTAGATACAGCAATCTTGGTTCCAATTACCATGGTAGCCAGAGAATTACCTGTAAAGCCAGAAGTTGGGAAGAATTGCAATCCAAGTAACACAGAGGGAGAGAAGAGAGAAACACATCCAGATTTGCAATATGTTACTGTAAACATTTAATAAAAGTAAAAGTGCATATTGGTATGCACTGCTTTTCTAATCTAGTCTACCTTGAAGAGCCAAGTTTCCATGTTTGGAGTCATCCCACTCAAGAACACATCTGGCATGGTATAATTGTAGCCATATTCCCTTTATTTCTCCAGCCAACTTGGCTGAAAAACCTTTGAAGTTGAAAGTTGGCATTATTGAATAAAATCTAAGACTTACTTCTTGTGGCTCGCATGGCTACTGTTGTTATTTTAATAAGCACAATTGGTTTGTGTAATGCCTGAGACTATATGATGGGGTGATTTCTATTTAGAATGTTCTCATTTCAACACATTCTGGAAGACCAGCTGTGTTGATTTATTTGAAGAATAAATAAGTGGTGGCAGTTTGAAGACCAACTTATTCTACAAGTAAGACAAAACCTAAATTCATGTATTAAGATGGTCACGGTATACTGTATTGATTAAGATGTAAGTAAAAAATGGATTGGATACACAAATACATACAACCACAAAGAGAACAAAGAAAAAGAAGATGACAAATTTGACTTGCTTGGTTAGGAAAAGTCAATAACTATATTTGTTAGGGACTGGAAACTTTTCACCATTTTGCTGAAAATAGAAAAAACAGGCATAATGTAACCTAAGATAGGATAAAATATAAATGCTGCTTATATTTAAAATTATAACTGCTGTAAAAAAGATCAAAGCCTTCTTTCTTTCCTCTCCGTCCCTTTTCTTTCTTTTTCTGTCTCTTTCTTTTATTTACTTATTACTTTTACTTATTTATATTTTCTATTTCTTAACCTCCCATCTCCTTCAAAGAGGAACTCTGAGTGGTGTACAATATAATCAATATATAACAATGTATAAAATTAACATTAAAATCAGAATTAAGATTTAAAAGTTTTAAAATTATAAAAAATATAATAAAAATTCAAAAGGTGAAAAATTCCAAGATGGGTTAGCCAATGTTAATACAGACGGGGGGGTGGGGGGGAAGCAGGGTTGTCTCATAGGGCTATGCAGCCCCACATTCGTGAGGGACTCTATCCCCCATGCCAGGCTGCATAGTCAAGTTTTGACCACTTTGCAGAAAGCCAAGATATTGGTGGCTAAGTGCAGAATGTTCCACATTGCAGGGGCAGCAGCAGAGAAGCTCTTCTTCTTAGTCCTTGTCAACCAAAGTTCTTTGACTGACGGAGTCTGCAGCATACCTTCCCTGCTAGAATGAGTGGAAGGGGCTGATGTGATGGGATAAAGCTGGTTCCATAGATAGCCTGGCCCTATGCTGTGTAGGGTTCCATAGGTGATGACCAATACCTTGAATTGAACTTGAAAAGCAAACTGGCACTTAGTGCAGTTCACATAGCAAAGGTATTATGCCCTTCTTTGAGGACTCAGTATGGCTCACGTGACCACATTCTGCATCAACTGAAGCTTCCAGATACTTTTCAAGAGTAGTCTCATGTAGAGCCCATTGCAATAGTCTAATTGGGAAATAGCCACAGCATGAGTGACCAACGGAGAGTCTCTCTGTCCAGGGAGTGACTGGTGCACAATGTAGAATTAGATAAAGGCTCTCCTGGTCATAGCTGCCTCTTGCTCTTTGAGCAGGAGCCATTAATCCAAGAGAATCCCCAAGTTATAGACCGGGTCTGTCTGGGGTAATGCAACCCCATCCAGGACCAAAGATGATAAACTCCTGGATACAGAGGGGTCCACCACAGCCTCTCTATCTTACTAAGGTTCAGTTGAAGCCTTTTGTTTCCCGTTCAGACCCCGAAAGACTCCAGGCACTATGAAAGGACATCCACTGTATCATTCACTATATCCGGGACTAGGATATATACCTGGGTCTCATCAGTGTATTGGTGGTACCACATCCCATGGTGATGGATAATCTCACCCAGTGGTTTCATTGTAGACATTAAAAAGGAGTGTAGCATTGAGTCCTGTGGGACCCCACAAAGAAGGGGCCATGAGCTGAACCTCTCACTCCCTATTAAAATTGATTGGGACCAGCCTCGGAAGAAGGTGAACCAGCACAAAATTATGCTGACATGCCCAACTCCCAAAATAATACCATGGTTGAGAGTATCAAAAGCCACTGAGAGGTCATAGAAGAGCAAGAATGAATGTACCATCTCCATCCCATTCATGCCGCAGATCATTCCTGAGTGTAACCAATGCAGTTTCAGGCCCATATTTATGAGCCTGGTTTCAGATATGTGCCTGAAACCAGACTGAAAAGGGTTCAGATAATCTGTTTTCTCCAGGGTCTTCTAGAACTTTTTGCAACTTTTCCATCCACCTTTCCTAGAAAGAGAATGTGGAAGACTGGA